CTGAGATAAAAGTGTATATCCGACAAATCGATGGCCAGTTAGCGGGCAATTACAGACAAATGGAGGCCACGTCTAACTTCACGGCAATGGTGTACAGAAACGGCCAAACATTTGGTATTCGTGAAAATATCCAGGGTAGTTGGTATTATCTGGACTTTACCGATCCCACCAAGTCCAATTTGGTGATACATAGTCAAGAGGTTGCCGTTATATGCCATTAATGTGTTTAGCCTTTGAAACGCTTATTATTTCTCTTTTTTAGAAACAAGTAAAAGAGTTTCTCAATTGTCAAAAAACATCACCCCTTTTGGATCAAGTGTCTCCTTCTTCTGCGCCCAACGCAAGTGTCAGTAGTGGTGATCAGAGCAGCGCATTGTCTCCTATTGGGGATCAAACTACGAGCGGTGACATCGGAATCGGATCCACTCATAAAAACGGCACGACTTCGGCCACACCTGAAAAGTCCAGTAAAACCATGGTTTGGATTATTTTAATTGTCGTGATTGTAATCGTAGTAATCGTTGCAATCATTTGTTGTACAGTTTTCTGTGAGTTTTGTGCAAAAAAATGTAATCTTTTTAAATAACTGAACAAAATGTATGAATTATTAGACCTGAAATCAAAAGGACGACCGAATGAGGACAAAGACAAGTCGGCGGCGACGGACTCGACGGCAACGGCTGAACCAAAATCAAATGTAATCTTTTTAAATAACTGAACAAAATGTATGAATTATTAGACCTGAAATCAAAAGGACGACCGAATGAGGACAAAGACAAGTCGGCGGCGACGGACTCGACGGCAACGGCTGAACCAAAATCAAAAGCACCGCCGGAGCCGTCGGACGCCGATAAAGGCTCAGACATTAAGAAAAGCAGTGAAACCGTGCGATCAGTTATTTAGACATTGTTTTGTATTTGTAATATATTTTGTAATTATAGTTAGCGTTTATATTAATTAATAATTTGTTATCGATTTACTTTTGATTAAAAAATCAATTTTTAATTTAAATATTTTTAATATAAATTGTAATTGTAATAGCATTTCAAATGTTAGACATTGTATTTATCCTAAAACTCAATTAAATAATTGCTATTTTTGTGAACTTAATTTTAAGATATATTTAGTGAATGTCTGAAAAACTGTATTCAAAGTAACAATGAATTCAATTAAACAATTAAATGAAAAGATGAGTTAAACAATAATTAATATCACATGAAATATAAATATTCAAAAAGTTATTATTGAACACAGTTTTAGAAATAATTATCACAATTATTGTGAATATATTTCATTTAAGAACAAAAATTCGTTACAAAGTCTTAAATAAATTCAGTTATCATTTTGTAAAACCAAAAGATGTTATCTTTATATCCATCGCTTGTATTGATTGGTTTGGTTGCCATCAATGGTGTGATTCTTCAGTCGAGCCCTTCTTCATCTGCACCGCCGTCCACAACACAGTCTGGTGTCAGCTCTACTTCGGTACAACCGGCTGCAGGTTCTTCAGCAGTACCTTCTGGTGTCAGTACCACTCCATCGGGTGTCAGCGCCTCTGCGGGACAACCGACTTCAGTAGCGCCGTCGGGGGTCAGTACAGCTGCTGTCACTTCAGGTGTGAGTCCTTCATCTCAAGTACCGGGCATTAGTACGACTACTGGCCCATCAGCTGCGAGTCCAGCTTCTCAGACACCGGCTATCAGTACAAGCGCTGGCGGTAACACTTCGCAGGGATCGGGTGTCAGCGCAACCACTGCTCAATCAGCTGCGAGTCCTGCATCTCAGTCATCGGGTGTGAGCACAACAACGGCTGGCAGTGCATCCACTGGTCAATCAGGTGGTAGTCCCGCATCTCAGACACCGGCAGTTAGTGCTACGGGAGCGTCCGGTGCGAGTTCATCACCGGCACAAACGACTGTCACGACGGGACCGGTGAACACAGGCTTTGATTTTTGTGCTTTGAGTTCACCGAAACTCATCGACGCGTTCACAATCGGAAACACTATATACTTCGGT